AAGGATGTACATCAGAATACCTGGGCAGAATACCTGGGCTGAGGCTGAGGCTGAGCAAATTCAGGTGCCTATTACAACCATAGGAAGGACTCGGGGAGTTCCTGCTGCATGCCATCGCTTTTCAGGTGCTTCCTAATTTAATCCTTACAACAACCTGAAAATGTAGGCACTGTTACTTCCATTTTACACATGAGGAAACTGAGGCCAGGGAAGACCACTCCATCAAGGATGAGGAAGGGGGAGCATTTGGACTGCATCTGCTGAGCTCTCAGGCGTTCTTGCAGGGGTGCTCACAAGGCAGTCACCTTCTAGGGCCTATTTGTGGGGTGAAGCACCCAGTTCTGCAGTTGGCCAGTGACAGGGATCAACAGACACTTCTCACAGCACCTTGCACTCACCTCCGATGCCCAATGAGCTTCCCCAAGGCTGCCCTGAGTGAGGACAGCCAGACTGGGAGGAGGAGATAGAGAAGCCCGGTTCTCAGGGCACCAACACATTTGCTTATTTTGTGCTACAAGCAGAGCCTCCAAAACCGGGCATCTGAAGCTGCCAGGTGTAGCAAGGCCTAGGGACCGGGGCCAAGGGCTTTCTCTGATGCAGGCCCCTCCCAGTGTGGCCTTGATCGGGTCCCTGGCCCTTCCTGGGCCTCAGCTCCTGGTCTATAAAAGTAGAGGGAGAGCGGGGGCAGGCAGTGGCCCCCCTGGGCCCTGCGGATTTGCAGATCAGCTGAGAGAGATGTGTGTGCAGTCACCCCAAGCAGTTCCTGCCTCAGTTCTTCATCCAGAGAGAGGCTAGGCCGGGTATTAATAGCAGGCTAATCAGTCTCACATTCTTTGTGTGCTAAATGAAAGCAAAAATCCCAAGCTGGAAGAACAAAACCCTCCTTTCTGAGAAGACTGAGTCACTCCACAACGGTCAGTGGAGTGGGCTTAACCCCTTGCTGCCCAGAAGGGCCTTTTGGCACCTTCCGGTTAACCGAGAGCCACGCAGCACACAGGCTGTGCTCCTGGGAGACTGTGGTTTCAGAGTCTAAAGGCTCTGGAAGAGGCCACTGTCTGCCCACACACAGCCAGCAGGCTCAGCCCTGCTAGGACCTGGAGAGTCTCACAGATGCACGGTAGACTGGGCATTGCCATTCACAGGCAGTAACTTTGAGCATCTTCATCCCTGTTTCCTCATCAGTAAATGAATGAATGGACCACTCATAATGATAGTTGACAGTAATAGTACTTACCTGCCACCTCCAGGTGGCAGCACTGAGGAGTGCCAGTGTAAAGGCCCTCTCCTTGCCCTGATAACCGCCACGTGCTTGCTGGGCACAGCGAGGCCGTGGGACTTTTCAAGGCTCCCTAGCGCCAGTGTAGTGGGCAGCATGGAGGTGTGTGTTGGTTATAGCTGGCTTGTGTGACCACTTTCAAGCAGCAGTCCCTGCTCCTCCTGCCCGGCTGCTGCAGCCCACAGGACACAGCCTGTGCTCCCAGCCCAAGTGGACTTGCTGGGGTGAATCCTTCGATGAGCCAACCAAGGAGAGTGGTATGAACAGAAGAATGAAGAGGGGAGGGAGGGGATGGACTGACCCTCACTGAGCAGATGGATGAATGGAGGCGTTTACCTCTGTGCAGTGAGGCTCATGCAACCTCAAACTGCAGGCCCACCCTTTGCCTTCAGAAGACTCCTGGCCTGACAACCATCGGTGTTGCTGCCTCTGGCCTGCCTCACCCACATCCTTAGCCTTGCTGGGAGATCAGTCCAGTTCTCCCCCAGGGCACAAATGCCCCCACCCTGGGCTCATCAAGACACTCTAGCAGAAGAAAGAGGGGGAAAGATGATGGGTTTTGGAGTCCAACGAGCCTGGATTACAACCTTGACCTATCTCTTACTAGCTGTGTGATTTTGAGCAGGGTGCTGAGACTCTGTCCCATGTCCAGTAGGCAACCTACAAGTATCTGATGTAGGAAAACAGGAACAAAAATCTATTTGTTTACTTTCTTTCATGAGCAGGGGGAAGATAAAATGTATGGTTTGGGGACTTCTAGCCTCTCCAGTTACACAAATGATTGATAGTTATCTCAACAGAGGCTCTTGGGTACTTTGCAGCAGGCACAAGGGTAACTGGACCCTGTGGAGTTGTTTGTCCTCTCTGCGCCTCAGTTTCCCTTTCTGTAAAATGTGCCAGTTTCTACTTAAGCACTGGCTGGTGGCAAAATGGAAGGAATCAAGAGATCTGATGGGCTCTGGGCACCCTCCCACTTAACCCTTTCCTGACCAGGTGGGAGAGGCAGCCAGGAGGACTGGGGAGTGGGGTGAAGAAGGACTGGCCAGAAGACCAAACATTACGCACTGTTTTCTCCTTTTATGGGCCGTGCTCTACATCGCCACTTCCTGGAGGTTTTATTCCAAACTCTGCTGTGATGGATGTGAAGTCCGCGTGCCCATGAGCTCCCTCGAAACCCAGATGTCCCCCCGGGGAGGGAATCGGCTTCTACCTTGCTATTTTAAGCAGCAAGTTTATAATAATGGATGGGAGAGAAAGCAAACCAGGCAGGAGCAGCGTGGGAATGGCCGGCGGGGCTGTGCTCCCCTCCCTCAGGAGCCTGGGGTTCCATCTTGGCAAGGGTGAGGCCTCAGCCAGCATCCACTCTGCTTCCATCCTTCGGCAGCTGACACCTTGGTGTTTGTCTGTCTTCATTCATTCTTGTTTTATTTTCTGACTAGGACTGGCTTAAGGTCTTTCTTGAAGAGAAGGATGTGGGGGAAGGGAAGGGAAGGTTTGGGAAATGGAATATTTCTGACGTGACTTGGGAACATTGAGATGCCAGAGTTCTGTGATGGGAGAGTAGGGTCTTGTGGCTTGTTGTGAGTAGGAGGAGTCCAGGATTTCAGGGATTCCTAGGGTTGGGAAAGATCCCTACTGTGATTAGGCATTCTGGGACCCTTATCCCAGCCTTTGCTGAAACTCCCAGGGCTAGGATCTTGCTACCTAAAGAGTGTCCTGTTTCATCTTTACGTGGTTCCAACCACTAGATTTCTTTTGCCTCTCTTCATCTGATCTTCCAGTCATTGGTCACATGCCTGTCCTTTGGGAATGCTAGAACTACATGAATGCCTTTCAAATACCTAAGATTGTATTTTTCCCTGCACCTTCTCTTGTCTAGACAAGGTCTTTAGTTCTTTAAGCACAAATTCTTGGCCTCCAGGTATCCTCTTTCCCCTTTTCTTAACAGACCTCAATTAATCTGAATCCTTCTTAGCCTGCAGAGGAAAAATGGAATGGTTGCCTCTCATGTTTTGGAAACCATATTCCTATTAAGATATGCTGGATGTACACACATCACACTTATTAACAGGGTTCCTAAGAGGTGCAACTAACTTCTCTAGCAAAATTAGGGTTTATAGGTACTCTTGTTACCTTCAACCCCTGTTACCATGTACTTTACTCAGCACCATTGACATTATTGCTGCTAGAGTCTAAGTAAAGATGGTAGAAATTAATCACTGAGCTCATCCTTGGGTGAACGTGATTTTCAGCTTATTAATACAATAGCCACTTAGCATGGGGGACATGATAGCCCCAGCCCTACAGCTCTCATCCCCAAAAGCCAGGTTAAATCTGCCCAGTATGGCTTCTCCTCTTCCTATCTCATCTCCTCTGCCCAGACCCCAGCCATCTGTCCACATAGATTCCATTCACATTTCAGTGTTCATGGATAAGCTCAAACACCATTTCTAATTTGGAATCATCACTAAAACTATGTCTCATCATCCCAATCTCCATAGTTAGGGACCTTCCCTGAGGTCTCATAACTTCTCATTTTCAAAACATGTACCCTATTACAGTTTTCTAACTGCCTTCCACCACTGGACTCCATGATCCCTGGGGGCCAAGACCGTATCTTCATCACCTTTGTGTCAACAGCCCCTACCACAGGCCTGGGGGAGTAGATCTAAAGTGCATGGTTGTGTCGAAACAGTGATTCAGCCCCTCTTCTACCTGAGATGAGATTTCTCAAGGTGACCATCGGGGTCGCCCCAACTGTTGCAGGGAAGAGTGGGCAAATGACAAAAGCCAAGATTGGGGTCACTCTGACACATCCTAGGACTAAAGGTGACTAGTTCTTTAAACACAAATCAACAACCATTTTTAATGAATCTTTTGAGTATCCACAATGAACTAGACACCGTGCTTGCGTCAGGGAGCTAGGGATGAAGGTTCGTGTGTTGGCCGAGTGGACTCTGCCAGTTGTGCCAGGTCCCAGCCTGCCCTGCAGCATTCTGGCTCTCAGGCCCTTTCTGACCCTTTCTGTTGGACAGAAAGGTACCTAAGATCATGAAAGGTGGCAGCAGTTTCTGGCCCTTCCACCTGTAGCCTCCACCAGTCACCTCATCTTGAACTTGAGGCACAGTAGGTACTCAATAAAAGTCATGTCTTTTTTTTCCCCCAAGGAGGAGGAAGTCGGAAACACAGTGGAGAACAGTTGTGTGGAGTCATGAAAAGAGCCCTGATCTTAGGTCAAGAAGCCCTGGGTGTGTGATTTGGGACAAGGGGTTTCCACCCCGAGGCAGGTCCCTGGTCTATAGAATGGGACTGTTAATGCCTGCATCAGAGGGCATCATGAGGAGCCACTTAGATGATGCTAGTAATCCTCCCAGGGTAGTGGCTGCCACCCAGAGGTGCTCAGTGAATGACGCACAAATACCAATCCAACCCAACAGAGTATGCTCCATTAGCTATGGCTCTGAGAAGTTTGAAGCACTTCTCTCCCTTCTGGGATAGCTATGTTTACTCTAAGGTCCAAATTAGACCTAAAAGGTCACCTCTGCCTTTGTAAACAAAGCCAGAGAGCAGGAGGAAATGCAATCCTGAGTGCCTGCTCCTAGCCGAGTTTGACCTCCAGGGTTGATGCAAACTCAAGCAGGACTCTCTGCGGCTCCTGGAAATGGAATCCAGCTCGGGACAGGGATGGGAAGGAATTTGACTTGTCCTTTTGGCGTCTTCCCAGCCTGCGGAGCCGAGGCCTCTTGGAGGCTGACGCAGCGGAGGTTCCAGGCACACGCGGCCACTCGGCCAGGAGGTTGCCATGCCCCACATTCCCGAGGACGAGGAGCCCCCCGGAGAGCCACAGGCAGCCCAGAGCCCCACCAGCCAAGTAAGTGCCCACTCCCTGCCCGTGGCTAGCCTGGCTGGGGGCCAAGCCAAGTGTCCCAGGCTGAGGCCACAGCTCTCCAGCTGGCCAGAGGGTTTGCTGCAGTGGGCGCCAGGGAAGGCGTGCGGCTTCCACACCGAGGGATACTGTACCTCAAGTTCACTTGAAATGACCGAGGGCCTGCAGACTCCGAGTGTGGACCATCTAGGCTGTCTCTGACAGGAGTCACGGTATCAAACCACCCTAACCCCACCAGTTCCCTCCTGAACTGGAGAAAGATTTAAAAAGGAGCTGCCTCCTCAGAGAGCCCAGTCATGACAGGGTAGCTGGCACCAGCTAAAGACCACTTAAGTGCTTAAAATGAAGATAAAAAATTTCATAGTAAATAGTGAAGAAAGCTTTCAGTGAAATTTTATCAGAAAACAGGAAATGATGAAAATAAGTTCATTGAAGAGGATATTATTGAGATTTTATTGTGCAAATGAAATTATGCAAACAAGTTATTGTTAGGTATACATACTACAGAATATAGATTAATACGCTGCTTTTTATTGAACGAAGAATGAATCAAGTGTTGATTTTGGTGCTGATATACCAACAAATGTGTTCACATAATGCTGCATTCCTCACATTTTATTTTACAACATGATCATTATAAGACTGATTAATATTTATGGGTTTCATCTATTTTTCCAAGGATCTCTTTAAATCTTTTAATCATTCCTTTTTGAACAGTTTATCTTGCTATCATCCTCATTGTTTTCTTCATTTGCTAACAGATCCAGCTTCATCTGATCCTCACTGGTCAAAGACCTTGCAATGAAGTTCTCTGGCATTGTTTTCTTTGCCTCCGACTTCGCCATTGGTTTGCAGTGTCTGACAGCCATCCAAACTGACCAGAGCCAGTTGGGAGAGACACTTGTTAAGTGAGGGAAGAATGTATGAGTGAGCATTATTTTTCCAAAGGGGCAGATTCCTGCTGAATATTTTCATGTTATGATGATGTTTGTTTTCTTACACATCATGACTGTGGGAACTTAGATAGCAAATACTTAAAAAAGAATGGCCTTTCTTGTCCCAAGCTCATGGGATTGAGATGACCCAGAATTTGGCATCCTTGAGGATGGGGGATGCCCTTTCCTTGAATGCCTAAATGACAGAAGGTTGAATCCCCATCTCTCTGTCCAAAGACTGAAGTTCAAGGTTTTATGGAGCACTCCATAGCCACCCTGGATGTCTTGGGCCCTTGTAGGTTCTGTTATTAACAACCCACAAAGTGTACCAAGTTATGGGAGTTCAGGGGCTGAGGGCATGGCAACACAGAGCAGAGCACTCATACTGGATTCAAATGTGACTGCTTCCAATTCCTCAGGTCATGACTTTCCTGGACTCTTACTCGCTAGCCAGGACTTCTCCCACAGTGGTCACCACTGACCCTTCCACCTCATCAACAATGACAGTGCCCTAGAGTCAGATTCTCATGCAAAATTTAGCTCCCCAATCCTGGACAGCTTCCTCAAACAACTGCGTCTAAGAATATAAGCATCCCTAAATAATAGTAGTAGTAGTAGTAGTAGTAGTAGTAGTAATAATAATAATAATATCAGACAAGTTGTAACTCCATCATCAATGAAAACTCGCTTTTATATTGAGTTCAGTTCTTTCTGGCTCCACACCTCTTTAATTAAAAAGTCTTTCAAACCATAGTCTCAGGAGGCACAAAACAAGACCCCAGAACAGGCTGCTGGCCCTTCTTATCCTTGTGACTTTAAGCCACATGTAGATGCAGCTCCATCAGGCCAAGGTGAAGGTGAATTCCTAGGGGTGGACCAGCAGGGGAAGGAGTTCATGAGCTGGCTGTACAGTTGAGAGTCACAGACCCTTGGTTGGCCAGCCAGAGCTCCAGATTCCAGTTTCCCACAAGCCCAGTGACCTGTGACCTTGGGCTAGAACCAGACTTCTACAAAATGATGGCATATGCTCTGCTGGTATGCTAAGGCCCTTCCAGCTCTGTGCTTGTGGGAAATCAAGATACATATTAAGTTTGCAGGCTCTGATGGCTTCTGTATCACTGGAGCCCAGCAGAAGGACCTGTGAGAAATTCAGGTGACCAGGAGCCAGGAAGCCCAAGTCCTATCAGAAGGACACAGAGCACAGGATTTAAGAGAACGGGCTCTGTAGTCAGACCCAACCGGTCTGAGTCCCAGCTCCTCCACATCCTGGACCAGAGACCTTGAGACAGGGTCTGTTAACTGAGTCACTCCTCTGGTTCCTTGTATGTTACCCAGACCTGTGATAGCTGCTGTCTCCTGGACTCTGCCCATTCAGCCCAGCCCTAAGGCACACACAGAGCTGGGGCAGTTGGATGGACGCTTGGACTAAGAGCCCACCTGAGATTGTACATTCTCGTACCCAGCCCTTCCTGCCAGGCTCTGGGCCTCACTGAGTTCTCCGGAAGCCAGCTAGGCACTTAAGAGCTTCTTCCCCTTTTGCATCCACCAAACAACCCACATTGGGCTTCCCAGCCAGCCACAGCCTCCGGGGAGTGTCAGGCCTCCTGATCCCAGCTGGAGCCTCCAGGGTCTGGAGCCTACATCCCTGGGAGTGGCGGAAGCCAGGCAGCCAGGAAAGCGGGCTGGCCAGGAGGGCTCATCCGGAAGTCCCGGCACTGTGTGAATTCCCACTCTATGAAGCAGGCAAAGAACAGAGCACCCTTCTGAGTTTATAGCTCCCCAGGGCCCAGTCTTCATTCTGCTTGATCTGGCCCCAGACCTCATTTCCCATCACTGTTATACTGTCATGAGTGCTAGCTAAGACCTCACTTGAAAACACAACTGCAGGACTAGATTCTGTTTATTCTCTCTCTCTCTCTCTCTCTCTCTCTCTCTCTCTCTCTGTGTCTGTCTCTCTCTCATCAGATGCTATAGTCAAAATTCCATAGAGAAACAGAGCCTCTCCAAGCCTGTGTTCTGAGCACTGTTCGCGGGGTTGGCTCATGAACAGGATGGGACTTAGAGGGAAGAGTTTGTAGCTCAGGGGGCGCTGACAGGAACAGAAGCTGTCAAGGCACAAGCCTGGAGCCTTAGGGAACCACAGAAAGGCATCAGAGCTAGAGGGATTCCAGATCATATCTAAGCTCTTCCCAGAAACATAATGCCCTCTATAGTCCCAAGCCAGTCACCTTAGAAACTGTCAAACCCCAGATTTCTGAGCCACCCTAGACCTCTAAACTGGAGTCCCAGGAGTTGCGTCTTGGGAATCTGAAGGAATATTTCCAGGTTCGGAGCTCACCATCTCACCAGGAAGCCTGGGTTGGGCCTGGCCACCTCTGTCCTGGGCAAGCAAGTCTGCCTCCCCATCCTGCTCCCTCAGTTCTGCCTCCACAAGGCCTGCAGTGGGTAAGACCATGCATATGAAGGGAGGGCGCCTGGATCTCCCTAGAGTTTCCTTTCCTCTGGTTCCTCAATCTTTGCTCCTGTGACAGAATCTAGGGCCTTCCCTCCTCCTCCTCTTCCTCCTCCTCCTCCTCTGGACACACACCAACTTGTCCCCCTTCACCATGCAGGCTCCAGAGGCTCTTTGAGCAGCACATCAGAGATTTCCTGGCCTTTGATCACCAGCCACATTAGGAATCAAACTCACTGGGACAGCAGTGAAGTGCTTTGCAAACCTGGGGTACTAGGACATTCACATTAGCTGTGTCAGCCCAATTTGCACTGGCTCCAGCTTCGATCTGAACAACCTTAATTCTCCTCTAAGCATTTCTGGCAGCCCCTGGGGAAGGTCCATGTGAGCTCACAGGCTGACATTACCTGCCTATCATCTGCTCCAGCGTTCCCCACTTCCACCTCCCCATGTCCCCACCCCCATCGCAATAACAGCTGACCAGGTGCCAGGAAGTATTCTACTGCACTAACTCATTCAACTTCCAGTCACTCTTATGAGGTAGGTGTTATTATCCCCATTTCAGATTTGGAGAAACTGAGGCACAGAGAAATTAACTACCTTCCTTCAATGTCACACAGCTCACAAGTGTCAGGGCCAGGATTTGAGCCCTGGCAGCCTGGGCCCAGACACCATGTTCCTACTCTGTGCTCTGCACTGGACACTGGTGACTGCCCCTGGACCATCCATGAGAGCTCCAGGGCCTGGGACGAGGGCACATTTCCTGTGCTTTCAATGCCACTTGTCTGAGAGGGGCCCAGGTTGGAGAACATTCTGTCCTGTGACCTCCAAAGCGTGGTAACTTGTGGCACGGGGTCTCCCTGAAGCCTCTCTGCTTGCTGTCCACTCAGGTGCACCAGCCATGGGGGCCAGAGAGCCAGCCCCAGGTCACACATCCCACAGAGACCTGGTGCTGCCCTTGTGACTGCCTCATTCCCTTCAGCCAGAAGATAAAACACAGTGTGGGGCATAGTGAGGAACGCAGTGGATGAACACATGGATGTGGCTTAGGCCACATCCATGAGGCCAAGCAAATTCTCTGCTTCTTTCCTCATGCCCTAGGCAGACATTGATGCTTACCCTGTTGTATGGTGGCATCTTGTGGCTTAAGATCATTGCAGCACTCAGCTAGCCAGTGGCATCCCCTCCCTCCTCTTCCCCCAATTTTAAGTAACTGAGAAGAGGTTGGAGCATGCCCTGGAGAAGCAGCCCTCTGTGTGGCCCTCAGGATGGGGTCTGTGTGTGGACACCAAGAACCTCCAGCCACACCAATGCCTCTTTGGGCTCAGAGTTGGAGAAGTGCCACCAGAGCAAGTCAGTCCTCTCTCTGCTGGTGTCAGTGGAGTTTGAGATGCTTCCTGGCTTCACTCTGGCTTCCAGGCTGAACTCAGAGGCTACCCCCTGCTCTGCGCTCTTGAAAGAGGAGATGCCCAAGCAGCCAGGGGCTTCTGGGAGCCACAGGGATGCTCTTGGTCAGAGGCTCACAGGTGTAAGCAGCACAGTAGCACTGAAAAGCCTGGGCTTCCCCTCCCAGGTACAACCCTGACTGAGTTAATTCA